CTAAAACAACACCTGTTTGTGTCAAGATAATTCAATTATCGCTCAGACACCCTCTGAGAAAGAGATGGGGTCCTTCTCCAGTTGCAAGCTATGATATAATCTACCTTGCACACATAATCTACTTCACACACACTTCATCCTTTAAAATGTTTTTAGTTATTTTATGTGTACTATATCAGTGAGCAAGTGTCACTGCATGCACATGGAGGTCAGAGGACTACTTAAGGGAATAAGTTCTAACCTTCCAGCATATGACTCTGGGATTTAACTCAGGTCTTCAGGTTTGGGGGCAAGTACACTTACCTGCTCAGGAATCACACATAAGCCTGACCTGGTGTCCAGTCCCTACAGTAGGACAGGTTTAAGAGCAAAAGGTTGTCTAGCATAACATTAGCTGGTTGCTCTGTACTCTGTCTCCCAACAGTTTCTTTCACAATAGACAAAATAAAAAATAAAAGAAAGGTGAAAGAAATATGTTGAATGATAAGGGTTAGAGTATTTAAGAAACTAAAACAAAATGTTCATTTATTGTTTTTAATATGCAGCCAAACATGACAGCAATGTTACACAAATAGCTTCCTTCTTCCCTTCTAAAGTTCAAGATTGGTTGACTCCAACTTAAAATTAGAATAACATGATTTATTTCTGAAAATAGCAATCAATAGCAAGAATGTGTGTAACATTTGGTCACTACCAGCTTCCAGTACTTAGAAGTTATATTGTATATATACCAGTTAGTATACTGGATTTATTATGCAATTACTAGTTATGAAAGGATTTCTCTCCATGTTGTTTGTAGAACAAGAATGGTAGAAAAACTTGATATAAGAAAATATGTTAAAAATTAAAGAATTATCCTAATTATTTGGATTTCCAGGTAAAAGAAAGCCAGTGGACCATAAGAACATACATTAACACTTAGATAAGTTATCTTCATCTAAAAAATAGGAAACTTGTGGTGCTAGTTTGCATTTGGATTATGTGGAATTTGAATCAAGGACTTCAATTGGGCTCATACACCTTTTGCTCTCAGATACCATCAGCATTTGCAGGCTCAGGTAAGTCCATTGTGACCTCATTGAGACATATGGGCAAACTATTATAGCACAGTAGGAACAGCCTCAGAATGCTTCTAGGACATGGCAGAAGAAAAAGGAGTAGTGTCCAGAGACTGGGAGAAATTTGGAATGCTGTTTTTCAAGCCTTGCATTAAGAAAAGTTTGCAAAACCCATGTTCACTTGAAAGACGCACATTTGGTTGGCCACATAAAGCTATCATAATGGTAAGACTCATCCCGGCAATGGGCTCTGCTCACTCACAGTGTTTCCTTTGTTTGGGCCAATTCGGTTTCAGGGGTCAGATTTTCCTGGGTGTGCTATTCTCAGCAGCAGACAGGTAGCTTTGTGAATCAAACACAGTTCAATTATATCCACTTTGATCCACATCACATATGTTCTTTGTATCTGGCAGAAAGTGTGCACAGCATACTCCCAACACCAGTCTTCAAGTTTTTCTCTCTTTGACTTTCAACATTTCAAATGACCACAAGCAGCCAGACCAGAAACTGTAGTACATTCCTGGCATTTCAAATTCCCATGATCCCAGTTGGCATGCAAGAAAGACTGTCTCTAACTTTTTCCTTTAAAAATAGTGTACTTGCCAAGTCCTTGCCCAGATGCCTCTACTCAAGAAAATGTAAGATTTGTTTTGACAAGTCAATGAAGTGCTCTCTTAGTGCTTAGCCAGGGTTCCCAATACTTGGGTTACATCATACACAGGACAACTGTTTCTGAAGACACTTAGTTGGTTTCTCAAAAACAGATTTTAACATTTCATTCCAATGAAAGCTCTGATTTCTTTTAGTATTATTTTCAGAGGACTCCATTGGAAGAAGCCAGGGTTTCTTTCCCCTGTTATGGTATGACAATCTCGACATGGCTTTGTTCAATTATCATTAGATAATTGCCATTATAGAATCCAGACAGTAGCACTGTAGATCAGGTACTGAGATAGCAACTTTCTCACAGATAAATCTTAGGGATTATAGATGAAAAGGATCACTCTTATTGATTCCTCAGAAAAAAAATATTTAGGTTATTTTTGTTGCTTTTGTGTGGTTAGCTGGCTCATAGTCACGGAAATGAACAGTATGTTTGTGGCTTTTAAATCAAAAGAGGTAACTGGAAAACCAACTACCTGATAATTAATAACTCAAGTCCCCAGAGCAAGGGACTCGGTGGTATTAGGCTTGGTATTGTCAACGAAATATGTGTGAGTGATGGCTGAGTTTTAATTGATGACATCCTGTACTTTGAATCTATTACCAGCTACTGGTGTCACTTCCAGAATCTGTGTTCCTGTGTCTGAATGACCTAAATTTAAGCTGACCCTCAATCAATATATTTATTTGAACACTTCTCTGAAGAGTGGAACACATTGCCAGATCATATATATGGGTCTTTATTGATATCCCTGGGACTCATGTTCCTCATTCACTATTAAGTACATAGTTCATATACCAAACTTGTAGACTGCTTTCTAGCTATGCTTGACTTGATGGCCCCTAAAGGCTTACAGTTGCATGATAAATGAGTGATACTTTAATTAAAACACACATATTTTATAATGCAAAGGAGAGACTGCTGTTAAAAATCCATACTCCCTCAGGAGAGATAGCATTATTGAGATATTTAAGCTGAAATATAAAATGAACACATACATCAATATCTGCCAAGACATTTTTTTCATTTTAATACAGTAACAGAATTTTTGAATAACCATCACATGTTAATAAACCTTAGAAACTAGACAAAGATGAATGCCAGATTGTGATTTGCATTTTCTAGCCTTTTATCATGGATATAAAGTTTTAAAAAGCATTCTAGTGTTAACAATGTCTATAAGATTTTAGCAGATAGTCTTTGGGCATTTCCTGCTTCAGAATAAACAAAATAATTGAGAAGCCAATGTGATGCTGTTCTACGAAATTGTTAGAGGAATTTGATTCAGGGAGTCAGGATTTTTTCAAATAATTATTGTAACGGCAATAGGCACTGAATGCTGTCAAAGTTATGCCTGGAAACAATTAGGCAGATACAGTAAAATTTAAGTTTAGTGGAGCTGTTGATCCAGAATCTAGAGAAGTATTACCACATATTTTGATAGGAGAGTGGGGTATAAAACTATGCATACCTGTGAGGTTCTCCAAATTTGGAGATTTCTGATTTCATGCTCTCCAGTGAGAGTATTCCCCAGGGATCTTTGTCGTATTCAAGGCCTAAAGACTTTTGTCCTGAAGTTTTCTATTTTGCATATTAATTAATATGAACTGAATAATTCTGAATGCTACCTAGTCCCATTGGTCTTCAAGAAAAGGTAAAGAAAAACTAGATATTCCTGTTTTTGTTTTGTATTTTTCTTGAATATTTATAAAACTTCCTGAAGCTTTACAAGGTTCTCAATTGATGCAAAATAAACACAAGTACTAACTGACTATATTGACAGTTATCTACAAGAAGCTACTGACCTTCAGGGACACTGACATAAGGCACACTATGTTATACACACTGGTGTGACAAACTTAAGCATCTCAAGTCTGAAGTTCTGAATTTCCAGTGCCTTGGGGTAGTATTATTTTCATAGAATAGTACAAACCCCTCCACATCAGCACTATTGCTTCAAGCACATATTTGATTAGGTGACAGGAGAGAGTATTCTTTGGTCCTGATAGGAAAACTTTCTGGAATTAAAAATAGAAAGGCCATCCAGTCTTACTTAAAATTAGATGCAAGCAGCTTCATCTTCCATGCACATTTTGAGGCTCTAATTTGTAGATGAGGGAAATGATCCAAGTCTGAGATACTCAAACTGCATGACTTCAGGGTCATGGCCACATACCGAGTACAGATTGTCGCCTCAGCGATTATGGATACAAGGTGTCATTGCTTGACAACCTGATGACTGATGTTCCATCAGCCAAATTTCAAGTTTCCAAAGATAGCCTATCTTCCAGTCTCCTTTTAATTAGACCCTCGTAATAATTGTTAGAGCAAGTGACAGAGTACTAGATAAAGGTTAGGTTGGGATATGGTTGAACTGTGTGCTACTTTTGTAGTTTGAAGTTTGTGATTTCAAGCTTTGATATGAAGAAAAATAAATGTATGATAAAGAATAAATAATAAAGGAAAGGGAGACTTCTTTAGACCTCTCCCCAACCTCTGTCCTCAACACAGAATTGTAATCCTCATGCACCTGCCTCTCATGGCTTGGGATTAGAAGGTAGAGAATCACTTTCCAAACCTACAACAGAGACTTATGGACCTCACATGTCAACAGCGCTGAGTGGAGGAAATGAAGTCTGTCCTTTGACAGAACATCTGCAATGAACCTAAAGGGTAAAGGCTTTTTAGATGCAATGGTGTTTCTGGGTCTAAAACCAAAGATGTTAACCATTTTAAAACGGCAGCAGAATCCATTCAAGGGAAGAGAAACTCTACCCTGGGTATGCTCAGTACATATTTAAGTGAATGGACACTTCTTCCTGGACTTTTGAACTTTTGAGCCTTTGTCTACTCATTCATAAAATTAACAGCTTATCTTAAATAGAGCAAATAGTTCTTTCAGTTAAAAATGTGTGTGTGTGTGTGTGTGTGTGTGTGTGTGTGTGTGTGTGTGTGTATGAGTGCAGGTGCTCATGGAGAACAGAAAACGATTTGAGTTCTCCTACAGCTCAGGCTACATATGGTTGTTAATGCTGTGGACCAAACTCTGGTCTTCTGAAAAATATAGTGAGTATTCTTATCCACTGTGCCATCTCTCCAGCCCCTTGAACCATTCACACACACACACACACACACACACACACACACACACCACCATATAAATTGTTTTCCTGTACCAGAAGATCTACAGAGTAACTTTCATACAGTAGGTGCTTAGCATATAGGAAAATGAATTCTGTGGCTCAATGAAAAAACAAGTAAAAGCAAGAATCAATGCACTCTGTAAAATGTAAAGTGCTTTATAAAAACACAATGATATGAGTATATCATAGGTAACACCCCTGATCTCACAATCTTTTCCAATAGAGACCTTCTTGGAACACAAGTTCCCGAATTATTTCCATGAACAAGTAAAAACTGTGATTATCTATGTGGCAGAAAACTTCAATAAACAGTATTAGTTTTCAAATACAATTGAGTAGAAATGAAACAAAGGCAGAAAAACATTTAAATGACAAAGATAAATAGCACTGCTAACCTGGTGACCAGAGCTGAGGAGGTGGGAAAGGAAACACATAAAGACCCTACTAGAGATGGAATTTGAAATAGAACAACAAGATTCTTACGACAGTAACAGCATACAGGACTACTGTTTCAATGCTTCATAGTATAGTATATAGAGCTCATCCTTAGAGCAGTAAAATTAATCTTTTCATGGATTATGACTTCCGGATGCTTGGTTGTGTTAATTACTTACAGCAGAATGTAAGCCATAGCAATCAAAACAAGAAAAAAAATTGAGAGGTTTAAGTTCAAAACTCACTTTTGATATCAGAGAAATTATTGTATCTATCTAAGCCCTGGTTTTCACATCAGTAAAAGGAACAGGTTGTATAAGATGCCTTCCCACACTATGTATTGTCTGGACATGAGCATACTTTAATTTTTATTTTATTTTTTATAAAGTCTGGCATTTGTAGAATTTACATCAGAAGCAAGTTTCCCCCATACTTATATAGTATTATGTCATAGCTCCTTACTTTTTAAAATAAAAATAACATAAATAAGAGATAACTAATGTTTGCAGTGTCATTTATTTTGCTTTCAAAAGAGCCTCTGCTAAGATGCTGGGAGTCCTGAGCAGAACAAACAAGAGGTACAAACTGACTTCACATAAGAAAGGCTCCAGGCAAATGCAGGAGACACAGGTGATTTGGCAAATGAGAGGAAGAGGCAGGAAAGAAAAACACGGACAAAAAGAAACTCAAGCACTTTTGCTATGTGCTTTGACACTTTCTCAAGAATATATTGCCTTTATTGTCATCAGTTGCCTTTTTGATTGATGGAATATTTTTCCCTTGTGTGTAGTTTGGTGCTTGCCCTACAGATGTGCTTTATAGATCACTTTGCTGTAAAGTTTCAAAAGTCTTTACATTTGTATTAATTGGTCCGTAAAATAATATTGCAAAAATAGACAGGAAAATATTTTTAATTTGTTTTCCAGTGTGAAAATTGAGACTCATGGAAGTTGAAGTGGTTTTTCCAAGGAAACACTATGAAAATACAAAGTCATGGCAACTGGTATTCTCATCATTTCTTTGTGAGGCATCTCTTAGATTACAAGAAAATAATTATTTGAATGTACCTAAGAGCTATCAAATACCCTTCCTTCCTTCCTTCCTTCCTTCCTTCCTTCCTTCCTTCCTTCCTTCCTTCCTTCCTTCCTTTCCTTCAAAAGCAAATTGTTCAACTGAAACATTATAGTATGTTACAGTAAAACTTTCTGCAATGATAGAAGTATTGTGTGTAACCTACAATGGTAGCCATGAGCCATGTGTGGCTATGGGTCATTCAAAATGTGACCAGACAACTGAATGTATATTTATTTAATTTAAAGATCACTACCAACAACTGGCCAGTAGAAATAGTAGGAGAGAGCACTTTTGTAGATCATATATATGAGAGTCTACTAAATACCCTAAAAACATTACCATAAAAATGTTTGTGCTCAGTTGTCCTTTACCTTTAACCATTCTCTATTTGTTGTTGTCCCATAAGGTCTCAACCATTCACAAACATGTCAATAAGTGGCCTGTAAAATCTTGTTGGTTGATTGGTAACTCTGATCACTGATTATTCCTCTTACAAATAATTAAGGTGACATATGTAAGTTCCTTTGTAATACCATTTTCAGATTTCCTCTAAGGTTGTATGTATTCCATTGTCATTTTTCTCATAAAAACACCATTGCCAATCTTTCTTCATTCTCTCAGAATGATGACTAAGGTGCTTGTGTCTACCCTTTGTAATGCATAATTCAGTTGAAGTCCATGGCACTGGTCTCCTTTTTGAAGTTTTTAGAAATCCTCTATGCCCTTCCTCTGAATAAGACAGGAATCAAGAACAAACCAGAACCACAAACAGGACTAGAATTTCAAAACAGGAAGGGATTCTCCCAATATTTCCTTTTATTCCTTGTGGTCTCAGGCAAAGCAGAATGTCTTATTCTCTCTCAATTATTTTTGAACATTTCCACATAACTTAACATCCTTTTTGCTTCCATTTTTTCCCGGTTACTTGATGTTTTGGTATACTGAATAATTTAGAGGGTCTTGTGCATTCATTTAAAAGAACTCTCAATTATTTTAAATCTAAACTGGAAAATGGGCTTTGAAGGATATAAGCTTAACATTACTGCTTAGGAAGGAATTATGTAAGGAGTGAAAATATATGCAAAGATATCTAGGCAGCTGCCAATCCATTACAATTGGAAGCCATAATTATTGCCAAAGTGCATGAAAGCATCCTTATCTTGCGCTAAAAGAAAGTTGTCTATGTGTACCATATATATCTGTAGAATACCAATTGCACCAATTACATTGGCAAGTCATTTGGTTATTGCTTTCTCACCAAAACTGTACCTGCAAGAATAAGCTGAGATGTGGCATATACCGTGAGCATAGCTGGGGGCACAGATTGTCATTACATCCAGCAACCATGTTGTTCCTCTTGTCTTTCTTTTCTGACATTTTAAACTAAGGTTAGGGAAAAGTTACCATTGTCACATACTTGATGTCTTTGCAAGTATAAAGTATAAAGCAAAATACATGTGACAGGAAAGAAACCTTGCTTATGGCAGATGATAACGTGACAGTCAGCTGTCCAGTGTAGACATTGTACCCAGATTGTAAACTGTCAGTGAGGTGTTACTGGTAAGGATATTTGCTTTGTGAATCCTGAATCTGCAAATGCTGAATGCTGTACCTTATAAGAACCAGGACTTACCTTGGCACATAATGTGAAAGTTTTACAGGGCAAGCCATTTGTAGAATTGTATGCCACAGTACCTGAACTCATGTTTATGAATGTGGTTTACATTAACCTCTTTCTTCCTTGACTGGTACCTTTTCTTTCTTTACTTATGGGAATTTCCGCCCCCCCCCCAAATTTGGATTGCAACCAGAGTACAAATGAAAACTCCACTGGAGGGACATTTACAACTGCTTCTTTGAATCAAGGAGGGAGAGGTTGGTATAGGAGAGGATGCAAGAGGAAGCAAAATGATACATGCTGCAGCTAAGTGGACCACTTCTGGACATAACATAAAAATATTGAGGATTATCTTACAATGTTATGGAAGGAACCAGTGATGCATCTTGCATTTGTTTTGTCTTGATGACAAAATACACTCTTTAGAGCCACAAGAGCCTGCCTTGTGTTAGTTATAAACAAAATATATTTATATATATATTTATGTAACTACTATGTGCTTTAAAGAAAATTACTGTGTGATTCAGCAGGGTTATTTCATTCTTTTTTTTCCTATCACCAGAGATATGATGACTTAAATGGCTTCTTAGGGATTCACAATGAAATAGATTTTTCATACAGACATGGTGAACTTAAAAAAAAATTCTTAAGGTATTTGTCTCAAAAAAATGATCTCACGAATCTTCCTCTTATTTCTGTCTGTTTTCATTAGCCAAGAGCAAATGAGGTTTCAAAGGACTCCAGGTGGGAGAGGAAGCAGCACCTTAGAAAGCAGATCTCATTTTATTCTTCAGTAAGAGAATGGAAAACCTCACTGGCTACTCCCTCCTCTCTGGTCCTTAGCTAAACGTTTAGAAATTGTGTCACAGCTCACAGAAAGGTTATTCATTACCAAGGAAGAGGCAGGCATAGTTTGAACTTCTGAGCAGATGAAAGATTCATCCTGCAAAGTAATGAACTTGTCTGAAGAACAGCATCTACAGCAAAACATAAAATCCTTTTGCCGATAGTCTGTTTGGAAAAGACAGAAAAACTTCCATTTGTGTTTGGCTTTGCTCTTGTGTGAGCTATTGTTCCCTGCAATCTTGAAACATTCACTATTGCTCTTTCCAGTGAAAGTGTTCAGGCTTTGGAACATGATTATCTTTGAGACGTCAGAGAAGAACATTTGAACCAAAGGTGTAGATCCCTTGTGAACTAAAGCTTTATTTATTATCATAATTTTTCCTTGATCCCTTTGCAACCCTGCACCTAAACCAAAGCATCGTCATCTCGTCACACTCCTGGCAAGTCCACAGGAGATGTTCCTTGTGAACCATGGGTGTCATCCCGCTAGGGAATCCTTTATTCAGTGTACATGGTGTCCTGTACAAATCTGAGTTTTTCTTTCAATATTCCTGGGCTGGGCTTGTCCAGAAATCTCGTCGCCCTTCTGTCTACAGCAGTTTAGGGCTCCTTTGTGTGTGTGGTTGTGGGTGTGTGTCTGTTTGTCTTAAATGCATAAGCAAAGTTTTAGTCTTAACACCTGTAAGCCAGTACCGGTGCTGCTCTGTCCTAAAATTTTAGCACTGCTCTGATACAATAAAACCTTCTTTCTCTCCAACTGGTTCAACTTCCGCATAGGCAGGATGTCCTGATCCTCTTCGAAATTTCATTGCTGGCCATCTGCTTGGGCGTCTCTAAAACAGGAAAATACAGAAACAATGAGCATCTCAATGAGCACCTATCAATAGATACATATATACTAGGTTCCATTGGTAGAATGCTTCCCATACTTAAAGTCCAAGTTTCAATTCCCAGCATCATGTATATCAAGCATAGATAGCACATTCCTTGTAATCTTAGCTTCAGGGAGGTGAAGGCAGGAGAATCTGAAGTTTAAACCCAAGGATATTTTCTTACTATTCTAGGTTGATTTCTTAATGCATTACATGAAGTGATCTACTACAATAAGCCCCACTGGAATTGACATGTTACTTTCTGCAAGGTCCCTGAGTCTTGAGTCTCCATTTTAGTTATACCCAGATAGCGACCTATTGGCTGCACCTACTCCCAGGTAATTGTAAGTTTCTGAAAGGCAAGGTTTAGTGAATGCTTTATGTCTGAAAAGTGCCACATACAATAAGATAAACTATGATTTTAATATCTATTTACATATTTCTGAATCTATGTATGTGCCCACATGATCTTATGTGCACTACATAAATGCCGGTGATCACAGAGGCCAGAAGAGTCCATCTGATGTTCTGAAAGTGGAGTTACAGGAGGTTGTGAGCTACCTAATATGGGTTCTGGGGATCAAACCTGGATCCTCTATAAAAACAATAAGTTCTCTTATGATAAGCCATCTCTCCAGCCCCTTAAAATTTGTTTAAAAAATTAAAAAAAACAACACAAAACTCTAGGTTGTGTGTTGTGTGTGTGTGTGTGTGTGTGTGTGTGAGAGAGAGAGAGAGAGAGAGAGAGAGAGAGAGAGAGAGAGAGAGAGAGAGAGAGAGAGAGAGAGAGAGCAGAATCTTCCAAGTAGCTCAGGCTGGCTTGGAACTTGTGAAATGACTACCTTTGTCTTTTGAGTGCTGGAATTAAAGGTGCGAACTTCCACATGTAATCCGGATGTATGACTCTCTTTTTACAAGTCAATATCAATATCACTTCCTTGGTCATTAATTTGCTAAAAGTATGGCCATAAAATTCTCCAACCATTTCTATGAGTTGGATTCAATTAGCTGTTAGGTTTCCTTTTAGATAGAGGAAATATTGTTCAGACTTGAGAAATCATTTATTAAACTAATCACATCTATTTATGACTTTTATGTCTAAACATTAAAGGTGTCACACCTTAAAAATGGGACCCATCACCAAAGGTTGTGAGCAAACTTAAGCCTATCAAGTTAATATTGAATGGTAAACACTAATTCTAAAACACAGGCTATTTGTATTGACAAGAAGAGCCTTTCTCTCCAGCACTCTATCAAATAAACCCACTGTGATTTTGGGATAGATGTGCTGAAATGAATTATTAAGCTACAGCCAGAGAAGACAGTAAAATGCATTTCATAGCCACAGTGACATTAGAAGTGATTACTCCATTTATCAAAGTGCCTGCAATTTTGGCATAAATAAGGCAATAAATATGGAGGGAATCTTATTCCTATGTAAAGCCTTTTAATGCAAAAGAGGTTAAATACCAGTGTTCATATAGCGACACTTGGTATCTTGCTCTTGCTAGAGTTGCTAATGACATGCCAACATCAATGATTAATGGCTATGAGGGAAGTATTTCACATCAAGCGGGAATGAGTATTAGTTTTATGTTCTGGAAAAATGCCAGTTGAGGTAATTATATTCTGATTATTAATAATATTATACACTGCCACCATAACACTTTGCAGTCAGAAAGTTTGACATTTATTAGCTGATTAAAGCTCATGAGGTAAGTGATGCTGGATGTTCCTTGCTACCCCAAAGAAGACATTAAAACTACCACAGGGAGCAGCACCTGCAGTGGTCCTGAAGATCACCTTTGATAGGCACATAGTGAGTCTCTCTGGAGGTAGGTACTGTAACTTGTGACTACTATATAGTTGGGAAAAGACTACGTGCCTTGTGACTTACTTTTTATGTTAGCCATAGCTTCAGAACTGGGATTCTCTAAAGCCATGGCTTCCCCAGCCAAATAGCATTATTAATTCTTTCCTTCATTTCTACTCTTGTTAAAGCGAAAAGAACATAATGGCCCCTGGGTCCAGCTTGCAAGGGTTGCCCTCAAAATAATTTTATAACTTAAGATGTACAGGTGACAAGCCTACTGAGGATGGCCCTCATGAAAGCTGCATATTAGTACGTTCTCCTAAGTATGGTTTTATGCCTTATATTCATTTGCATATTCTATAAACTGGCAAAACTAGGAAAAGGCAGCTGAGATGAACATGAAATCTATCTACTCATGAAATCAATTTTGCCCACGGTTGGAATTACTTCATAAAATTCAATAGTTTAAACATACCTCAGTCAACATTTGTGGACATGATTTTACTTTCACTTTACTTTACTTTTCTATTTATTTATTCATTCATTCATTCATTCATTCATTCATTCATTCATTCACTTTACATCCTGACCACAGACCCCATCCCCAATCCTTGACTCACACAGCACATCCCACTTTCCCCCTCCCCTTCTCTTCCGAGAAGTTGGGATATCCCTTGGGTACCAACCCACACTGGCACATCAAGTTACTGTAGAACTAGGCACAACCTCTCCCACTGAGGCCAGACAAGGCAGTCCGGTTAAGGGAACTAGATCCACAGGCAGGCAACAAAGTCAGGGACAGTCCCTGTTCTAGTTATTGGGGACCCATATGAAGACCAAGCTGCATGTCTGCTACATATAAGGCCATCTTTTTGGAAGTTATGATTTTGTTTTTATATCCTATTGCCTGAGAATGAATCTGGGGCCGTGCACATGCTGGGCCAGTGTGCCCACTCAGTGATCCTCACCAGGGGCTGTGGACATCTGGGCCAGTATGCTATCTCAGGAATTCTTCCCAGGTTATTTTCAGAAATTTTTTTTTACATATTCTTAAATATTATTTCCCTTGATTTATTATCTCTCATTTTAGAAACAAAGCCAGAAAGAATTAATGACGACTTGGATTCCCTTGAGGTCCCATGTCACACATGATTTGCTTGTCTAGTTGCTTGACATCCACCTACATCTCATTAGTAAGGATGAGTAAAATAGATACACAGCAATGAAAAATTATTTAAGATATTGTTCATTCATACAAAACTTAAAATCTTATATAAAAGAAATGGCATTTTTCATAGTAATATGTTGGAATATATACAAGTTAAATACTATAAACTGAAACCTGAATGTTTAATATATATTTGTAGCATTGACAGAATGCTACAAAAGGAAGTCTCCATACCATAAAAAAAAATTGCTTCATGAATGAAATGACACAAAACCGTATGCTGTCACTTCCAGCATGAGTGGGATATGCATGAACTGAATCAGTCTGTTTGGAATGGAAGAAATTTATTCTACTTTTTAATTTTTTCTGTTCTTTCACAGTTCCTTTGATGCCGCTGGCTCATAACTAAAAAAAAGCCAAAGGAGAGTGAAAAATTTGCCAAAAATCTGCTGTCCTTTATAAGACCTTCTCAAAGACATAGGCGATGTCATTCCAAAACCACACTATGATGACTAAGTCATGTGATGTCTTTGGATCTTTTTTTCCTGTCTTTAAACTTTGTATCTAATGTCTCTTTAAATGATCTAAGATCTTTACTCTTGACTTCTTGAATTGCTTAAAGTCCGTGTAAAGATAATAATAATAGCAATAATACCTCTGTACTGTGATTATTGAATTATCATCCTCCTGCCTTGGTTTAGTATAGAAGTCAAATATATAGGGAAATTATATTCATTAGTCTTCACTGGTTGTGTTTTGCTGTGTCTGTCTGCAGCTGCTCCACTAACTGTTTAGAGGCAGACGATAGTTAACTATGACTTTAACTGCATGAGTAAGCATTTGATCTCATAGAAAAGTCCTTAGTGTTGGTGCTCGGTGGGAAACATCTACCCAATGGGCTGAGGAGGGCATGGACGGAGGAGACTAGAAGTCTGGGTGTTGATTTGGTCCCACAGTGAACTCACAAGTCTGATGAGATAGAATCAGCCATACTGGGAAGAGATCTTTTGAACTTCATCCTTGAGGCCCAGCCATTGCCAAGTCTATTGTCTGTTAAGAATGGCCAATTCAAAGTGTTATGGGAACTAGTAGATACAATAGAGTCACATGCTGGTAAAGCAGAATGCATGTTGCAACCCCCACATTAAAACCAGAATGGAGTGTGAATTTATTGCTGATAACATGCATATAATGACCCCAGACACGGTGGGGTACAATGCGTGGGTGACCTTTCATTTCCTTTCTGAGACGTTATGTGATTAATTACATTCAGAAGAAAATGTTCACAGTGATTTGTGGGCACTGGGGTAAGTCAGGTAGGCAGAATTCTCCTTAATTACTCCTTCACTACTATTAATTGAACAGTCATCCAAATCTGTCTCAATGGTCCATGGCGAGATAATTAGTTGAAATATCTACAAACAAACCTGTAGGGTACTCTCAGCTACCAGTGTGCACAAAACTGTGCCTGGAGACCTGTTCTCAGGTGCACAGAGGACACAGACAGGGCTCTCTGGGCTTAAGTAGTCCTGGAAAGGATATAATCTGTAGGACTATGAAAGGCAGCCTGGTTTCTGGTAGAGCACAGGCTGGAAACCCAGGTGACCATGAGGGATAGGAGGCATTTTGTCATGCCCCAGACTCCAGGCTCCTGACATGAGGCCTCCATAGATTTGTGTCCTTCAGTCACATAAGGGCAACACCTCTAACCCCTCCACAGGCCTCAAGACAGATCTCCATATTAATGAGATACCTAAAGGCCAGAAGGACTTAGCCAATTAAGTTTCCTTCCCAGACACTCCTCCCTGCAAAAGATATTTAACCTCAGGCCAGCCCTCAGAAAAGTCTAATCTGCAGAAGACCTCTCTGTGTTTCCAGTCACAGCAACAAGCCATGACAAGCCAAAACTTCTCATCCCGGTGGGACCCAGTTTTTAATTAACTAGTAAACTTTACATCCTGATCGAGGTTTCCTCTCCCT